CGTGTTTAACCACGTGTGCCGGAAGCGTATCTGCAATGTATAAGCTTTTCTTGTCTGCCTCGAATTCAATATTTTATGTTATCGATTTTCCACAGGATCTGAGGTTTAGCTGGACGATAGAATGCGGTGGGCTCCCTTGACACGAACCGAGTCTAGAGAACGGAGCCATCGTATACTAGTTCCCAGTGGATTGCAGTTCCTTCACATACACACACACACATCATGCTGCCTTGCGGCTTAGGCTTTGGTTAGCCGTTGAATACGGTTAGCAGTCTCCGAAATCATTCATTCACCGGCTTTGTTTAGAGCAAGCTGATAGAATCGCATTCATGAACCAGCTGCAGATTGATTTGTTTAACACAGCCTTAATCAAGGCGAGCGTGAAGTGTAATAGTAACAATGATGATGATGATGATGATGCTGATGGTACTCTTGTTTGTCAGATTACGGAAGACAACGGTCTTCTGTTTAGATTGTGAAGAGGCCAGTAAGCTTAATCCGATTCGAATCCACTCATGAAACAGCGCCTANCGCCTACGCTTTTGCACCACGCATGCCGCATCAGCTGAGCAGAGAGGTCACAATCTAAACAGAAGACCGTTGTCTTCCGTAATCTGACAAACACCGATAGCGCTGATCTTCCACGGTAAGGTTGGTAACCCACCAAACTTACAGGGGTATAGGGAATCCACCATTTAACACGTAACCTGGCTTCCACTACAGGTTTATCTTAGAATTCATCGAATAAACTTCCAAGTTCAAATTATGTTGAAATGATAATAATGGTAGAATTATATTTAGTATAGACCATTTTCATCTTCCCTGCTTGGTCAATAGAAATCCAGAAATGAAGTTCACTGTTGTTGTTCAACTTTTGAACTTTTCTGCTACCAACATGAAGTTTTATCTCCAATCTTCGTCGATTACTGTAACTTCACTGTTTGCCATACTAGATGTCTCCCTGTTCTCCCTCGGAGTGTCCTCCGCGCATGTAGCACTGCATCACTGTGTATCGTCTTCCGGATTCCATGTTCTATCTCTCACTCTGTCGATAAAAAGCTGTTCTTCATCTTAGGAGTTTTCTCCGTCTCATTGTAGCTGGTGTATTCCATGTGATTGCTGTAGCATTAGTCGTATCTGCAACCCTTCTCGTTTTCAGCGGTACGTTCTGAATGACATGTTATTCGAACACAATTTTCCGCCTTCAGACTTGTGTTATAACATTTTTATTTTACCACAATTGGTTGAGCTTTGACCATTTTCCTTTCCAGTCCAGAAACTCAAAATCTTTGCACTATTCCCTCTCGTTTCTCAGGTCCTCGTTCGAATGGCTCCAAACGTCCCCTCAGTCGGAATGGTTCTACCTCCTCGATCCCAGTAACTACCGATCCGGCGCTAGTCCCTGGACTGCCCGCTTACACCGGTCAAATACCTCTCTTTGCTGGGCTACCGTTCGACAAATTAAGCGCCTTGTCCACATTGGCCCCAGCTGGTTCTCTAACTACAGAATCACTAGCGTCTCATATGGACTATACGGATCTTTCTGCCACTCTTCTTCAATCAATCCTTCCGGGTTCATTTGTCCCTGGTTCTGCCGCTGCCGCCGCAGCTGCAGCAGCTGCCGGTAGTGGTACTATGGGTCACGATGCGACCCACACATTGCGTGCTTCTTTAGCGGCCACCATGTTACCCTATCTGACCCGTTTATTACCAGCTGGTGCTCCCGGGACTTTGTACACTCCGATAGTGTCATCATCCTCCTCTGCGACTCCGCGATCCGACGCACTGGTAGGTCATTCAAACAAACCGCCAGATCCAACTCTTGCCGCATCCACGAATACTATCCTCAAGTCCACTCCGAACCCCATGAATCAACCGGTTGATTTGGACCACGGTGAGAAACGTGCAACTACTACTACTTCCACACGACCTTTGATCCAAACTGAGAATTCCCAACCTGAATTGTGTCATACACCACCAGCGATGCCCGAACGACTTATCTCCAGTCCGTTGTACTGCAACGGATGCCAGCGATTTTTTGCCTCTGGTCAGCTATACTCCTGTCATTTGCAAATGAGTTATCGGCTGCTGAAAAGTGCAGATCCCGAACTGATGTCCACTATCTCAACCATAGAATCCGGTGACCGTGAACCCAGTTGTGGTGCTTTCCAGTTAGCTCAGGCTGCTTCTCGTCTCGGATTGGTTCTAGCCGCACCGCTCGTGACCACAAATGGGATTCACTATGTCCCGGTCCATCCGTCCTGTGGTACTCAGTTCGAGCAGAACAATTGCAACTCTCACTCGCATCCGAATTCGTCACACCTCGGTTGTGTGAGTACAAACAGTCAGTCGACAACACAACCGCAGCCCGTTGCCCCTACGGTTTGCCGAGCTCCAAAACATACCTCACCGGTTGGACATTCGAACAAAAATACACGGGATGCCTCAGTTATCCCGGATCCTGACCCCATTCAGACAAAAACAGATAGTAGCGCTTTAGCGTTCTCCGGAAAACAATCCACAATAAACGTCGCCGCACGTCATCCACCCTCGAAAATCCTGGACCTTTCCTGTAGTCCACAATCGATAAGCGCGTTCTCCGGCCTTGGTCGTGAAACGCAATCCTCCGGCTGTACATACGGAATCGATCAGTCTACCTTGCACACAGATACTATGGGGTCCACACGACTGACGATTCCCAACGGGACGTCCACCTCTTCCGGGACAGGTCCTGGGAACAACTTGGCAGTTTCATCCCTGGAGTACGGCCCGTACTCACATTTGCTTCAGTTGTTCACCCAGTTGATGGCTGGCAGTGTTGAATCGGCGGCAGATCCCGATATGTCAGGGCCAATGAACTTGCCACAAATTATGGCTCAGTTATACTCGGCGACCGGTTTGTACGGTTCTCTGGCGACTCCAGTCTCCAACACTACCAGTTCTTGCGTATCCAATACGACTAACAATCCACTCACATCCGTTCCGTCATCCACACCACTTATCCCATTGTTTGCCCCATTTTGGCTGGCCTCACATCACGATGCCTCGGGATTGCCCGCTGGTTCACGCGCACCATCATCCCGCGTCAGCCAGACTCCACCCACTTCACCCATTCGTGAGACCAAAACCACTCCAAACCCAATGGATTTGCTCGCCTCTGTGTATTCGACCCAAACGCCAGGACGTGCTGCTGATCTGGTGGGTTTAGGAAAATCCGGGAAAGCATCTGTTCCCGGGCATGCAAATGCTAACGCCGCTACGCCTGGTCACGTGGCTCCGTCACTGCAGACTAGTCCAACCGGGTCGCCGGAATCGCCCAACTGTCGTCCGTTCTTGTGCACCTATTGTCAGACACGATTCCAAGCATATACCACCTATATAGTGAGTTTTTGTTTGGATCCCCATGATTCATTTGGAATATGGTTTCCGTTTCTTTTTCGTTATCTCATGGTGCGGGCTGTTCGGATCCGAATGGTTTGAATGCTAATCAAATGTGTTATTGATTGACCTGTTTTCGTATCACTATTTCATATATATANTATATATACATGTAAAATCGTTTTTGAGAATTGTTACCCATCTAGTATTGTGCACAATTTGTCAGACTCCAGCAGTAAGTCCTTGGTTTTCGAGTGCCTCGTCCTCGAAGACATCTTCATATTGATGTCTAGTCGCCACATACCAGCGTGGGGCCATTCACTTGTGGTTTGTTTGCACACCACTATTTTAATTTCCTGACTCTGTTAGCGATCAACTGAAGGTCGTGCGTTTATTTTGCTCCCCGAAGGCAGCAGTGAGATTTTTATTGCATTGGGTTCGTTTACACGATCTGTACCATCATGTGGCTTACCATGATGCAAAGATTTCGTATCTGTCGTGGAGGTTATCATTCTCTGCGTATCCGTTGAATCGATTGTAGTGCTGCGCTGAATATTTATGTGGGTATGGAATCGTGCGCAAAATCTAGTCAAAGTTTTTTCTCCATGATCCCCCTCGCCCGGAATAACTTAAACACACTTTGAAGC